GCGCCCTGAAAATAGCAGTTCACAAGAGAGTGACAAACATACAAAAGAAGTAGAGGAAAAATGACGATAGTAAGGATGACGAAAGAAAAGGCAGCAGTTCCCCCTATGTTGTTCCGGCACAGTATAAGCAAGCCATAGATAAATCAGCCCTTTTATAATTCTACTGTACATAGGAACATGTTAATATCATCCTTTTGGGAATGCACTAAAGACATTTCAGTCAGTAGCACTGCCCGGGGGTTGTGGGGGGGGGGGGGGGGGATACAAACGTAACAGAAACGTCAGACCTCAGTAAACGTGGCAACCACACCAGGTCTTTAAATGACAGTAAAGAACAAATATTCCACATTGATCTGGAACTTTCTGTGGTTTGGATTTACGACAGATTACGAAACCCGCGGAAATAACCCCCATGATTCCCGCGTCCTTTATCTTTATGCCGGGAGTGAAATAAATGTAACCGCTGCAGCGCTCAAAGACCGATTTCCTGTAGGTTCTTGGCGGGAAATTTCTCCCTTTTGTTCCGACGAGGCGGAAGGCACCCCAGCAGTGCACGGCGTCCAATTTTGTTTCCGTGCGTGTGCAATCTGGCATTCTCTCGTTACCCAACGGGCTTCTTTGTTTTGTTTTAAATTAATGTGAGGCAGCGAGGAGGAATCAGGCTCTCGTCAATTTTTGGGCATGTAAAGTTATTGGTACCATCTTATAGCTTGTTCACTTGTCTTTATTTAAATGAAAATAATATCCATTTATCTTGAATACAAGTCAAGATATTTGCGAATGAAGGAGGTGGGGGTCACCTGTTTTCAGAGGTAAAATTTGTGAGAAAATGGCCGCCAAAGATTAGTTATTTCCTTAGCTTAAGAGTCCGTGGTAGCTGAAAATTTACATTTTTTGTGCCTTTAATCAACTTTTTTCAGAAAAATCCACACAAAAATGAGTTCTTTAATAGGCATGAAAGGTGTTGAGCCAAAAAAAACAAAAATTTGAAAAAAATTCACAAACCTGCGGAAAAATGCAAGTTTCTTCACTTTGATTATTTTGACGAGAGCCTGATTCCACCACGCTGCCTCACAAATGTGTTTCTTCATCTTTTTTATTTGCTTTATTTGGTTTGGTTTTGTTTGTTATGTTTGTTTCCCCTTTTCGATTGCGGTGTGTAATAATAAATATTATGTGGGATCAAAATAAGAAAAAGACATGAAATCCTTTGATTCTGTCAAATGTCACTTGAAGCAGTTTCTGCTTTTAAATTGATAGATTGGACATTAAGAGAGATTTCTTTTGGTCAGAACACAACGTTGTATATTACTGTTGTACGTTGTACTGTATTGTAAAGCGTTCAGAGCCTCGTGTACTTTAATCGGAGTTGAGCTCTATAACAATGTCCTTTATTATTATTATTATTATTATTATTATTATTATTATTATTATCATCATCATATCATTATTATTATTATTATTATTATTATTATTATTATTATTATTATTATTATTATTATATAATAATAATTATTATTATTGTTATAATAATTATTGTTATGATGATGATGATGATGCCCACCAGCGAGAGTGGAACGGGTCGGGTCGGGTCGGGTCGTTTTCTTGTGGTTTTAGTGTACACTACAACCCCGGGGAGCTGCGATTGTACCCGACGACCTGGAAGTTAAAGTAGAGAAACCTACTTTAACCTCAATGGCTTCCAGGGCTCCTTTTCGCAGTTCCTTGTTGCAGTGCTGCGGCAGCCTGGAATCCCATAAACATGGTTACAATAGTTACATCGATAACTTTCTATTATCAAAGATCGTTCATAAGAAGATAGCTTCAGTTCACTCGGCCAAAAAAGTGTCCGCAGAAGTCTGCGCATTGTTCAGATGGTGTGGCAGTCTTTGTTTTGAAGCTCTCTTTCCTTTCTCTAGAAGAAGAATAGGAATAGCACATTTTGTTTGTTTCAATTTTATTGTTTTTCACACAAGTACGGTTACTGTGTTCGCAAAGTCAGCACTTTTTCGAAGAGGGCGCACCGGATTTCTAGTGGACATGGACACGTGACTCAGCCTTTGCTGTGATTGGCTGCAGCAAACCATCCGATCGCACGATTCGTAGGTCTGAAAACAAATGCGTTTGATTTTGTAGGTCACCGACCGAGTCGATCGGTTTGTGCCATGATGGCCGCTTTGCGCCCTCAATTTGGCTAGCCCCGAATACTAGATCGACCCGACCCGACCCGACCCGATCGCGTATGTGGGCACCCCCTATTAGAATCACAAAGTTCTATCTGACATTTTTGTTGTTTTTGAGTTACTAAGACCATGAGGTCAGAAACTAAATGTTCTATCCGTTCTATACAAATCGTAAGATTATTCGGAGTTGCTATCAAGATATTCAAACTATTGCGTTCTAAAAAACTTGACAAGATGTGAAACTCAGATTCTTTGACGTCAAATTTCTCAAAACTACGTATTTAACAGACAGAACTTTTGTAATTCTGAAGTAGCGA